AGAATTAAGTGACTTATAAATTAGACTTAAAACCTTTGTGCACTAAAGGACACCATCAAGAAAGTGAAAATACAAGCCACATAATGGAAGAAACTATTTTCAATGCATGTATTAGATAAGGGTTTAGTATCCAGAATATATAAAGGGATTTTACATCTTAACAATAAAAAAGCAAATAATCCAATATAAAATCATGGGAAATGGATCTGAATGAACTTTTCTCTAAAAAACATGTACAAATGTGATTAAGTGCATCAAAAAATGCTCAACATCATTAGTCATTAGGGAAAGGCAAATGAAAAGTATAATGAGATACCACTGCATATCCACTAGGATGGCTATAATAAAAAGATGGGCAATAATAAATGTTGATAAGGATGTGTAGAAATTGGAACTCTTCTATATTGCTGAAAGGAATGTAAAATGGTTCATCCACTGTGGAAATCACTTTGACAGTTCCTCAAATAAAACTGGATTACCATAATACCTAGAAACTCTACTACTGGGTACATACCTAAGATTAATGAAAATAAATGTCTTCGCAAAAACATGCACAGAAATGTTCATAGAAGCATCATTCATAATAACTAAAAAGTGGAAATAATTCAAATGTCCATCAACTGTGGAATGGATAAAGAAAATATTTTATTTCCATACAGTGGGTCATTATTCAGCCATATAAAGGAGCTAAGTACTCTTAAATGCTATGAAATGGCTGAACCTAGAAAACATTATTCTCAGTTAAATAAGCCAGATACAATTGAATGCACATTGTATGATTCCTCTTATATGAAATATCCAGAATAAGCAAATCCGTACAGGCAGAAATTAGATTAGTGGTTAATGGGTGAATGTGGCAACTGGGAGTGATGGCTAATTAGGTAAGGGATTTTTTTTTTTGAGGAAATGAAAATATTCTGCAGTTATATCATAGCAATGTTGCAAAACCTTGTTACTAAAAAACACTAAATCAAACATTTTAAAAGGACAATTTTATATGATGTGAATTATATCTCAATAAAATTTGGAAAAAATCCAGACTCCCTCGGTAAACTATTTTGAAAACTATGTGATATTATTTAGATTGCTTAATAAATGTTGAACAAAGGAGGAGTAATTTATTATAATAAGCCAAGGGGGAAAGTTACCTTAAGGTAAGTTTTATTTATTTATTTTTTTAATAAATTAATTTTTATTGGTGTTTGATTTACCAACATACAGAATAACACCCAGTGCTCATCCCGTCAAGTGCCTCCTTCAGTGCCCGTCACCCATTCACCCCCACCCCCCGCCCTCCTCCCCTTCCACCACCCCTAGTTCATTTCCCAGAGTTAGGAGACTTTATGTTCTGTCTCCCTTTCTGATATTTCCCACACATTTCTTAAGATTTTATTTATTCATGAGAGACACAGACAGAGAGAAAGAGAGAGAGGCAGAGACAAAGGCAGTGGGAGAAGCAGGCTCCATGCAGGGAGCCTTACGTGGGACTCAGATCCCAGGTCTCCAGGATCAGGCCCTGGGCTGAAGGCAGCGCTAAATCGCTGAGCCACCCAGGCTGCCCTAAGGTAAGTTTTCTATAGTTTGTTTTCTATGCAATAGATTTTATCTAACCATAGTTCTGTTTTTAAGCTCTATGGATCTCAACACTAATATGATTATAGTACTTTCATAAAATTTTTCTATACTTCATCATTATTATTATGTTTTTAGAATTTCAGTCTTTATAAAAGGATAGTGGTTTTCATAAATTTACCATTTATTTGGTAATAATGAAGCTAACAAGATGGGTCATTCTCTGAATATGCAAACATGGTTATCTTCATATTCATTTTCACATATCTTTTCAAATGAGTGAATTATTCTCTGATCAGTTTATTATATTTCAATCTTGAGAGAATATGATCCATTTTCGATTCAGATCAGAACTGAGTTATTCAATTCATATGCAGAAAATAACTAGATTTCTGAATATTCTGGAGAATGCACCAGAGCAAATATTAGGAAGCACATTGGATTTCCAATCCTTTTCCATTTTCTCCACTCTGAGGGAAGAACCTCCAGATATAAATAGTTGGCAGATTTATAATTTCAGTCATTTAAATTTGTAGCTCTCTATAGACTTAGAAGGTATTTATTTGTACCATAGGAAGGACTTCTGTTTTCCATCATTTTATTTTTAACTTACAAAAGAAAACAAGTACATGTATGTCAAAATAACTGACCAATGCTCTTAAAATTGTCAAGGTAATGGAAGATAAAAAAAAAAAAAGAGGAAAAACGACATATTGAAGATGAAGCTCAAGATGAAAGAAGTCAAGAAATTAACACCTGAGAGGTATACCTGTAGGTATAGAGGACCAACTGATGGTTACCAGAGACAAGTTGGGGGGATGGGTGAAATAGGTGATGGGGATTAACGATTGCACTTCTCATGATGAGTGCTGGGTCATGATGAGCACTGGGAATTGTTGAATCACTATATTGTATGCCTGAAACTAATATAATACTGTATGTTAACTATAGTGGAATTAAAATTTAAAACTTAATTAAAACACTTTAGAAGGGCAAATTTTATATGATGTGAATTATATATCAACAAAAATTGCAAACAATCCAGGCTCCCTCAGTTAACTATCTTATATCAATTAAAAAACTTGAGAGTTTAGTTAAAACTTTAGTAAAACTGAAGGAAGTTCTACAGTTTATTAATCATATTTTCCAATGTTAATTTCCTGGGTTTGATAATTTTACTATTGTTATGTAAGATCTTCTTCTTAGAAAAAGTTGGATGAGGGATATATAGGATTTCTGTATGATTTTATCACTTTCTGTAAGTCTAAAATTCTTTCAAAATAAAAGGAAAATAGCAGCAACAAGAACAACTAGAAGTTTCAGGGTTTAGAATCTCTCAAAGTTCTGGGCTTATATTTATTTTTTAAAGATTATATTTATTCATGAGAGACAGAGAGAGGGCAAAGACATAGGCAGAGGGAGAAGCAGGCTCTCGGTAAGAAGTCCAATGTGTGACTCAATCCCAGACGCTGGGATCAGGCTCTGAGGGGAAGGCAGATGTTCAACTGCTGAGCCACCCAGGTGTCCCAGTTCCAGGGTTTAGAATCAGGAATGATTAACCCAAAAATTATTTTAGGAATTAATTCACTTTATTTAGGCTAATTCCATTATAGTAATACATGATGGATGACACTTAAAAAAGTATATTAATGTGATGTCTGGATGACTCAGTCAGTTAAGTGTCCAAGTCTTGATTTTGGCTCAGGTCATGATCTCAGGATCATGAGATTGGGTCCCACATCAGGCTTTGCACTCAGCATGGATTTGGTTTATCCTTCTCACTCTGTTCCTCCCCCACCATACTCTCTCTCAAATAAGTAAATGAAAATCTAAATATATATATATTTATATATGTGCATATAATACATGCATGTATATATTTATGTGTGTAGATATAAGTGTATATATTTATATATGTATATTGACATCACATAGTTCATCTTAACCATACCTACCAGAAAATACTTAATAGTTGTCTCGGCAATGACTGATATTAATCACAGAATTAATCAAAACAGACAATATTCCAATTATGGAATGTAGTTACAGGCATGACATTAGTGTCAGAGGAAAAAAAATCCCATATTTTCCCTTTGCCTATTATGTTTTTAAAATAAGCTATATGTTTCCTCCTCTGTCTCTCTGTATCTATCTCTCTTACTAATATAATTCACAGTTACTTATTCTAGAGCATTCTTCAGTAATGACAAAAATAATCACCACTTATTTCTTTGTATGCCTTAACTAATACATCATCTATTGTATCTTCTCTTCCTTTTCCTTATACTCCTTCTTATAATTATTATAGCATTTTTATTGTTCTTTTTTAACCTTTTTTAATTTAAATTCAATTTGCCAAACATATAGTTAATCATTAGTTTCAGATGTAGTATTCAATAATTCATCAGTTGCATATAATACCCAGTGCTCATTATTATTGTTCTTATAAGAATTGTTAAAACAAAATATATGTACTAGTGTAGTTGTTAATATCAGCTGGAAACTAAAAATACAAACATATTAAATCAACCAATTGAATGTGAGTTTGTGGGTAACAAAAGCAATCTTAAAGTCTTACCTCAATATCAGGGATAAGGAAATAATTAAATTGAGCTTTTAGTTATTCTTTCAGTTTGATACAAAAATCACAGTAATGTCATGAAAAACTTTTAAATGAAACATTAACAATCAAAATCATCACCAAATAAAATAATACAAAATAATCAAGTAAACTTAATTATTAAATTGTAAGAATGGTTCATCATTTCAACCATTAAGAAATAGATTAACAAAGGTCACTACATTGACAAATTAAGTGAAGAAAACCATATGGTTATATCTTTAAATACTGAAAAGATATTTAATAGCATTCCACAACCAAATATAGGAATGACTCTTTATAAAATAGGAATATTAATTATGAAAAATACTATTCATGAAAAACCAACATTGAATAGTATCTTATTTGTGGATCAGAGGTCAATTTCAATAAATTAGAAATAAGTCAATGAGGTTGGCAACCATGCCAATAAGACTTGTTTTAGAAGTTTTATTCAATATAAAAAGAGACTAAAATAGTGTATGTATTAGAAACCAAGAAACATTTTTTTGTTTGTAGTTAACCTAATTGCTGATTAAGAAAACCTATGAAATTACATTTAAAAAAACCTATCAAAATGGATGATGTAATTTATAAAGGTTTCTGGGTACAAGATAAACAAAAAGCAAATTTTTTTCTTCACTATCTTCCATAATTCATAAGTGAGTAATCCATCCTTTTTAAAATTTTAACAAAATATCAAGAGATAAATATAATAAGAATATGTAAAAAATCTTTTTTTGATACACTATCATATTTTATTCAAATAACTAGTCTGATCACACATGGTCCAACAACACTCAAATAATAAACCAAATATATATAAATATTAAAGATTTGTCTTCAAACATTTTAGCCAATGATTCCACGCTTGCTTATTTATGATCTTACCAACATAAAACCACATCCACACCTCAGTGGCAACCAAACCATTCGGCTGAGCTTCCTTAACCATGAGCCATTTGAAGCTACTCTTGACTCTTTTTTTCAAGCTGCAAATAGCTGTAGAGATCTCAGCAGGGGATGGAGGAACCAGCTCAACCTTGGCTTAGTGCCAAAATGTAGCCAATCAAGGCTTTAAGTAAGTCCCAGCAGCATTCATCAGCACCAAGGCCTTCTCCATGAGGTTACAGACAAACTGGGACATGGTTCCAGAATGTAAAGTCTAAAACACGTCTTTAAATTGTATAGAATGGGGCTAGTACTTTAGGAATAGTGGAGTAAGAACCTCTGAAAATCAGTTCCTCCACAAAAACAATAAAAACAGTAGTAAAAAGTGTTAAAATCATCTTTTCCAAAACTCTGGAAATTAACCAAATGTTTACAACCATTCAAGGAGCATTTATTCAGGAAAAAATGGTTAAGTCTTTGAAATAACAGCAGGTTTTGCTTGCCTTATACCCATTTTCTTCCCCTCAGCTCTGTGGTATCCTCAAAATCCTGCATTAACACCAGTTGTTGCACAGCACTAGAGAGAGAAAATCAAGTTTGTAGCACCCTAAAACTCCATCCCTAGAGAACTGTCATTATTAAACTTCACTGACAATTACTTAGAAACCCCCACTTTCTGGGAATGTTGTTGTTTGACCTGACTCTGAACTTACTGGGAACAGCCTTTTTCCTGGGGCATCAAAACAACCAAAAACAATCAGTGACAATTGCTTAATTGCTTCCTGAGGTAGTGATAACTGTTGGAGCAAACAAGATTATGACTAGAAACGTAAAGGGAAAAGTTGGCAAATAAGATATCTACTGTGGGCTTTGAAGACACCTCACATATTCCTAGAAATTGAGAATGCCAAGTGCATGTACAGACTATGTGCATGTTCAGGAAGATCTGAGAGGCCCTATTCTCTCATCCTGTGGTGCACCTATGGAGGCTCTACATAGCAAGCAGTGAAGGCTAAGGTAGAGTTGGCAGTGGCTTGCCAGAATGTTGACACCAAGCTTCAACATGTATAGAAAGCACCTCATCAAAGGCTAGAAAATGTTTTGAATATAAAACACAGCAAGAGAGAAGTAAACCATCAAATAAAAGAAAACTTTAATAAGATGTACAACTGATTTTCCAACAAAAGCTGTGGAATCTAGAGGACTGTGGGATGACATATTTAAAGTGCCAAAAGAAAGACTGTTGACCAAGAATTCCACACTTAGCAAAATTATACCTCAAAAGTGAAGGCAAAATTAACATATCACCCAAATAAATAAAAACAGAATTTTTTGCCAGATGATAAAGAGAATCCTGGGGATGTAATAAAAAGACACTATATAGTAATTCTAATCAACCAATCAACCCATCAATAGCGCTAGTAATGGTAAGTATATAGTAAAATACAAATTATGATATTAAATGCATTATTGGTTTAAAATTGTTTCTTTCCTATACGATTTTTTAAAACTGCATAAAATAATAATTAAGAAACTGAGTTGATATTAGGATCTAACTCATGGGAACTAGCACATGGAAACTGAGAAATACAGGACCAATGCATATATACAATTGAAATTAAGATGGTACTACATTGAAATATATGTTTTTAAGTTAAAATGTTAATTGTAATCCTTAGGGAAACTGCTAAGGAGATAACTCAAATGTTAATTAAAATAACAAAGGGATTAAATAATATACTAGAAAATATATATTTACAACAAAGTAAAGAATAAGGAAATAAAAGGAAAAAACATGAGAGATAAAAAACAAATAGCAAAATGACAGACACAGATTCTAAATTATCTAAAACTTAGATTAAATACAAATGTATTAAATATTCCAATCAAAAACAGAGATCCACAAAAGGGATAAAAATTTAAAAACATAGTGGGATAAAATATCTGCAAATCATATATTTCGTAAGGGTTTAGTGTCCAGAATATTTAACAAAATCTACTAACTCAACAGTAAGAAGTCTACAATCTAATTTTAAAAAAGGACAGGTTTCAAATATGCATTTCTCCAAAGAAGGTACATATAAATGGTAATTAAGAAAAAAAAACAGATGCTCAATATCATTAGCCATCAGCGTAGTGCTAATGAAAATCACCATATGTTACAACTTCATGTCCACTAGGGTGGCAAATAAGTGGAAGAGATCATAATAAGTGTTGATAAAGATTTGGTAAAATTGGGACTCTCCAACATTGCTTGTAGAAATATAAAATGTTGCAGCCTTTATGGAAAACAGTTTGGCAGGTCCTTGAAAATATAAACATAGAGTTACCTTGTGCCTTGTCATGTTCACTCCTAAGTATATGCCCAATAGAAATGAAGACAAAATGTCCACACAAAGACTTGTACAGGCATGTTTATAGCAGAATTGTTAACAATGGCATCAAAATGGAAACAATTCAAATGTCCATCAATGGAACATTGGACAAATAATAAATGGTATATCCCTAAAATGTAATAAAAAGAAATGGAGTAGTGGTATATATTACAATATGGATGGATTTTGAAAACATTACACTAAGTGGAAGAAGCTGATCTCAAAATACCAATTATTATGTAATTCAATTTATTTTTTTAATGTAATTCAATTTACATAAAATTCCCAGAATAGGCAAATCCATAGTGACAGAAATTTGATTATGGCTAATGGGTATGCGGTTTCTTTTTGGAGTGATACAAATAATTTTGTAACTGGTGGCTATGATTGCATATTCTTATGAAGTTACTAAAACCTCTGAATTAAACATTTTTAAAATAGATTTTATTTATTTATTTGAGATGAGTGATAATGATTATTTAAATTAATAACCAAGTCTTATAGAAAGACATAAAAACACCAGAACTATTGGGAATGAGTAGTATTTTCCTGTCTAGAGATGGTTAATAGCATGAACATCTCAAATTATTCCAAAATGAATACATAAATTTACCTATTCCAAACTTTTGGAATTGAAGTAAATGATATAAAAATTTATAAAAAATAATAAAGATCATCAAATTCCAATAATGTTATATTAAAATTAATAGTGCAGTATTACCGATATAAGGCCTTCTAGATTAAAAAGTAAATTTATTCTAAGTTGGATAAGAATAGAAAAATATATTGGTTGTGGAGCATAACTATCTAAATATATCTCAGATATAAATTAAAATGTGTCAAAGTTGGCATTTTCATTCAAGTAATAAAGCATCATTTATTTAATAATTGGTACTGGAGTTTACAAACTTTTTACAAAGTAACCAATTCCAAGAAAATCAAAATGCAAATATTCAAATGGAAAGAGACTAAATCTGACTAGTGGTCAGGGAAGTTCCAATTAAAATGACAATGTTCCACTTTTTTTTTACCCATCTAATGGTAAAATTAACAAAGACAATATGGGTACCAAATATGGGTAGAGATGAGAAAAGACATTCTCATTATCGCTAGTTGGACTGTGAAATACCAGAATATTTTTAAGAAAGTAATATTGCAATATACTTAAAATAAATATGTGAATATTACTTGGGCCAACAAGCACTCTTTTAGGAATCTTACCTACAAAAAAAAAAAACAAAAACAAAAGCAGTAACATGTACATACATATGTGTATACATGCATGTTTGTGTACCTATATGGGCGCATATGTGTGTTATTTTAGCATTATAGTAGCTTGAATATACAGAAATAATGAATTGGTGGAATAAATTATGGCTTATTCAGTGGAGATATACAAAATATTTAACATTCATTGTAACAAAGGCATTGACCAATCACAGCAGGAACTAAAATGCACCCCTGAATATTGCTGTTCAATAGAATATTGTGCAGCTAATAAAAGAGTGAATTGAACCTATATATTGACCTGGATGGAGGTAAAAATTATACATTAAAAAAACTAAAATAAAATTGCAGAGTAATGTGAATCATATAATCACAGTTGGATTAAAATAAAATAAAATATAAGAGAGGGAGAGACAGAGATAGAGAAACAGAGAGACAGAAAAGAATTAGCAGTTAGAAGGGTATGAATGGATACACATCAAATTGTTACTACTGGTTACTTCAGAAGGATGGAACTAGAGGGTGAGGAAGGAAAAGATATAACACATATACATGGAAATTGAATTTCAAAAGCATGGAAGGCTATAAATAAAATGTTTTTTAAAATCCACCCTAATCTCATATTACCAGCCTTCCTACTTTAGTAGTCATTTCTTTTGTTTTTCTGGTGATTATCAAAATAACTGTTAAGTAATAAGCTTATACTCCTAGTCTTTAAATGAAATTTAAAGAACATTTATTTAAATATGAAGTATTGAGCTCAGAACACTTTCTCTCCAAACTTTCCAATATGTGTTAGATACATTTTGTTTTTATAATTCTATTATCTTTATAAAGCTTTATTTCTTCATTTATTGATTTTAAATTATAGCCATTGACTCCCTCACTGTCAGAGAGAAAATATAATATTTCTCCCCTTTACATTTCAACTTAACGTGACCTTTTTTTTATATTGACAAGATTTAAATCTTATACCTTAAATATAATTAAAATACCCATCTTTATGGTTGTTAAAGTTATATAAATCTGTATTTAATACTTTTTAATATTATAATTGTATAAATATTTTCACTGTAGAGCCAAATAGCATGACTAGATTACAAAAAATAAAAAAAAATGAGATAGCCTCTTAAAGGAAGATACTTCAGTATCAAAGTCTAATACATTCTTCTATTTTACTCTCCATTTACTCCTCAAAATCATGCCACATTTTAGAATGCTTCATATTTGGATCATTACATCCTTATAGAACTTTTTGTTTTTCCTGGCATAACAAGTCAGCTTTTTTTCCTTTCTACTTGTTGACATTAGAAATGTATGCCTTATTTGCCTATGACTAAGATCACCCAGCTTCCTAAATCATACTATTCTAAAACCTCACTACCCATGTTTTTAAAAATGTACTTAAAGTAAAAATACTGAAAACAAGAACCAAAATTTCATAGTTATGAAAATAGTAGAAATTAAATGTTTTATCGAGAACTTGCCTGGAAAAAGTTAAAATATACATTTATTTATCTTATATTTAATAGCATTTATGTTTCAACAGAAACTACAGATTAATATCTTAGAATAAACAATGAATGAAAGAAGTATTGATTTTTACTTCTTTCACTAGAGAGAATTAGAGATCAATTTTTCCAACCAAATTATA